ATATGGTACCCAAATCTTAAATGTTTTCGGCTGTGGCCACTGGAGGGCTTGGGCTTCAACTAACTGGGTACTCTGATTCTGTCAGATACACCATTTTAGGCACCAGGGCACTGTCTAACTTGCCAACAGTATGAGAACAGGTGGCATCTGTTCTCCCAGTGGTGGTCCACCCGTAATGAGGATCTGGTTTCCTGTCCGCTAACTGTGTTCCTGGAGTTTCTCCAGTTTCTTCTTGATAAGGGCTGCTCTCCCGCAACACTCAAGGTGTATGTGGCAGCAATATTGTGTGGCCATGCTGGCACTGATGGCTGTTAGTTTCTATTTTCCTGCGTGGTGCTGGTAGGGTGTGCCCACCGGTAATACTGCAGGTCCCAATTTGGGATTTGCCCTTGATGCTCAAAGCCCTCTGCCATCTTCCACTCTGGCGCAAGCTGGCCTCAAGTGGCTCTCATGTAAGACTGCTTTCCTGTTGGCTATTGTCTCAGCTAAGAGGGTTGACAAGCTACATGCTCTTTCTGTCATTCCTTCATGTCTCAGATGGGAACTAAATGGCTCTGGTGTTACTTTGTGGCCAAGCTCTGCATTTCTGCCAAAGGTTCAATCTCATTCTCAGTGTAACGAACCATTGAGATTGGCACATTTTCATCTACGTCAAGAGAGGCTGGGGATAAGCCTGAGTTGTTGTGCCCAGTGATGGCGCTGAAGGCATATGTGAGGCTACTGCAGGTGTGAGGCGCTCAGACCAGCTGTTTTTGTGATTTTGTGTTATGCCCCAAAAGTAGTTACTTAACACTTAAGATATGTTTGGTCAAATATATTGCAATTATTGTTATATTTACTGCTTATCTCACCATTTCTGGCACTTTGTCAGTTTTATGTTTATTTGATAATTCATTTGTGGTGTTAGAGCTCCATCTATTGAACCATTTGGGTATTGCAGGCCAAAATTTCACAGTGCATTTATGTGTTTATTTATATTTCTATACATTTTTATTGTCTTTTATTTCAGATAACCACACATGCACACGTGCAAAATCTACGCAAACCTACACATCAACATCTATAACTGAACTGCCACCACATCATCTATTTTGTTTGTACCTGCTACTACTCCTTCCTCAATAAATGTTCTGAACTGCACAATTGGAGTTGACTTATCCTTCTGACCGAGGAAGACTCAGCTGATAATCAATCTGCAATTAGCGCATGTCAGGCGCACACAGTGTATTACAGTAACTTTCATTTTAACTTGCACTTGCATATGTAGCGACGAACTATGTTCACTGACAATGGTTTTCTGAAGTGCTCCTGAGCCCATCAGTTATATTATGATGTCGGGTTTTAATGCAGTGCTGCTTGAGGGATTAAAGGTCACAGGCATTTAATGTTGGTTTTTAGATAGATAGATAAATACTTTATTAGTTTATTTTCTGGGGAATTTAATTAGTAGTATAAAATACAATTAGTACAGGTAAGTAGACTTGCCGCTTATTTACTTTGTTAAGATTCTCTGAATCTTTGAAGATTATGGATTGTACATGATGAAATCACTAAAATTAAAATATGCTAAAATAATGAGTCACATTGTTATTAGCAAACTTCATTTCAATATTGTTTATCAGCTCCCAAAGCAAATATATCTTGATTAAATAAATAATCTGAACCAACATTTTTTAATACTACTTTACATATGTACAGTACATGTACATAAGTTGGAAGAGTAACTTAWGAAAGCGAAGGCCATTCAATTTAGATGGCATTTAGAAAGAAACCACCTCCATTTATTTTGGGGTTTTACTACTTTATTACTTTCTGATGTCCTTACCTCTGAACTCCAGTCCTCGGAGTTGGAAGGTGACTAAACCATTGCCGATCTCTATCAGATGCACCAAAGCGTTCAGATAGTCCGAGGCCAAAATGAAGCAGTCCCCGGTACTAAAGTTTCCCCAGCGGCCCAACAGAAGGTCGCCACAAAGGCTGTGTTGCAGGGAGCGAGTCAGGTGCTCATAGAAAATTGAGTTCAAGTTGTTGTCATCTGAGCCTGTGGAGGAACAAAACAAAGAGGCTGGTACGTATTTACAACTAGGGACACAATGCAGAATGAATGCTGACGGCTGAAGAAGCTTAAACTGTGCTGTTAAAATGAATAGAAGCAAAACACTAGCTAAATGTAGCAAAATGTTATCTAAATGTATCAGAAGACAAAGAGTATCAAATGGATGTCTTAAAGGTAAAAGTTACGTAAGTGCAGTTCAAAGATAAAATAAGTAAAAGGCTAAAGGTATTAAAAGCTAGGTAGAAGCTTCAAGAATCAAAGGACTAATTAAGTTGTTTAAGTACCAAAAGGTTAACAAAAGCTAAAAGATTAAAAAGGCTAGTGAAAAGCTAAATTTGACAAAGGCAGAGCTCTCAAGCTCTCTCATTTTCCTGACGCCACATGACATTCCTCATGCTAAAAAATAACAAAGCCAGGAGTGGGCCGCACAAAGAAATGTGAAAAATGTCTGTGTCCAACTTTTTCCCCCCTTTATTTCCTTATTTTTTCCTTAAAAAGGTATCATATCATGCTTTTAAATCCTTCTTTTTCACATCTAAATCATTCATTTATGG